TGCTGACTTTGAGCACTCTGTTTGGCTTGGTAATCTTGCTGACACCACTTATCCGTAGAGAAGTGCGTAGTGAATGTTTGGCTGTAGGAATTCTCCACTTCTTAGAACAAATGGCAGCTTTCTGGGACAGCATGTTGCCATAGAACATGACATTTGAAAATGAAGCATGCACTGGAGAGGGGGTGTTGCCCACACTCTTTACAGTATCCGTGTGCTTGCACAAAACGAGCCAGTGGTCGTGTTCAGCACTGTACTGTGAGAGAGCCCCTCAGAGATCAGATGTTATTAATCTGGAGTTAATTGATTAGAGCACATATCTTTCCAGCCCTATAACCCCTGAGTTAATTAGATTTCATAGGAAAGGGGAATGCTTATGCAGGAATAAAAACAGCTAACGTGTATTGGCCAGTTTCCTTTCACAGGAAAAAGGTTAAAACTTCAAGTTAATCAGTGTAATAGTCTGTCAGCATATTTTTCCATGATCAATTGTTTATTTTCAGGCTTCATGTGCGGCACATCAGTGTTGGATAAAGACGGTGTAAGCGCGGCTGTGGTCACAGCTGAAGTGGCAACCTACCTGGAGAGCAAGAACCTAACGCTAGCACAGCAGCTCATCGAGATATATGAAACGTAAATTGTGTTTTTCATTACTGTGTTCTTCTTACCTATTTTGGAGCTGAGAATAATCTAGTAAATATTTCCAATGTCTCCCGCAGACGCTTTCTCACTGTAAGTTGTTTTTTCTGGTGCTGTGATGGACTGCAGCCGTCAGTATTACAGATACCACTTGAATACCACATCCCCCAAAGGACTGAAGAGGCCCTTTGTGTCGTGTTTCTGCAATAGATTGTGAAAGAGCAGAATTTTCATATGGATCCACGAGGGCAGACTTTTCTCTCATATTAGATTCATGCTATGTTACTTCTCTTCTGATGGGCACCTATATCGTAGTTGTGCTCTGTGTGCCTCTCTTTAACCCTTAAGATTTTCACTTTTCACTTTTCATGTTTCACTGAAACATGGTCTGGGGATTCTTAGGAGATCCCAGGCTGTTGTTGCAGAGATCTGTAACAGAACAGAGGTTAAAGGAATAGCCTGTGTTCAGTAGTGACAGACACAATTCACAGCAATTCAACGAGGACCGTGTTTATGTCGGAAGTAAAGTCACGCTGCGATAAACCTGGCTCATCAGCAGAAGTTCCTCTGCTTTAACGGGATTAGCGGCACAGTTACAGCAAAGCAAACATGCCGTTCCTTTTCCGCTGGCCCAGCACAAGGACAGACTGTGGCCCTTACAAACTTGGAACGAGGGAGCGCAAATGATGATCAGCATTTGTCTCTTGGTGGCACTCGGAGTTTGCTGTGTCACGTGCAGTCTGTAGCTGAAACAATTCTGCACAGCTGGATGGAAAAGCTGTCAGTGGGAGTGAGAACTGAAGGATTCACCTTCCAGCCACATTTAATTTGTTAAGCTGCAGAGCAGGGTCTCTGTAGCATGAGGAGTGGGTGGAATGCAGTGAAGAACAACTTCAATTTCAACGTGCAAATGTGGTTGCTGCGCCCAGTGACTGCTCGCTTTAGGTCTGATTGGGGATGGTAGTTTTAACGTGGATGAAATCATCAGTCACCTTCCTCAAAGGCTGTTGAAATAATCTGTTGTTGTGGCTGCTCCCATGGCTGTGGTGGATAATTTTGCATGGTGTGGGAATGATACTGCATATTTGTTTCCTGAGGGCTACCAAGGCTGCAGCTAGCCAAATGGTTGGCTTTTATTTCTTTGGATCTGAAACCTGTGCTTGAATTTAAAAATAGCTTCAGATGATCTGAGTAATGCTGTGAAATCTGCTTCAGAGTCCAAACGTTTGCCTATAAATATCCATTTCCACAGCTGTGAGAACTGCGTGCTTTTTCTTTCTGTTATTCCAAACAGAGGCTGTGCAGAAAACTTCTGAACCTTGTGACTGAAAATGTTCATCTGCTTGTAGGTATGGATATCACATATCGAGGACTTCCTACTTCTTGTGCTACGATCCTCCTACTATCAAAAGGATATTTGAGAAACTTCGGAACTTCGATGCCCCTCAGTCTTACCCAAAGTTTTGCGGTATTTACAATATATTACACGTGCGAGATGTTACCACTGGCTACGATAGCAGCCAGCCGAATAAGAAATCGGTGAGTTACACAGTATTGTCGCAGGAAGGGTTCTGTTTTCGAAGAGACTGAAAGTTAAATACACCCAGAACTGTGCAGGAAGATGTATTATGTCAGCCAAGATGGCAGTAGAATTGCCGTCATCTGTGAAGACTGCCTGAGATTCACTGGGGAAAAAACTGCTTAAGTGTGAAATGGTTTGGCTATTCTGTTATTTTATTAAAACAATGAATGAACTTTATTAGTTGAAGTGAGCTTGATGCTCGTGCAACTTTTAAGCTGTCTAGCAGGCTCCTAGATGTTGGAATTCCAACAGGAGTAAGAGGCGGTCCCGTTATCCTGAAATACTGAGTCTGATTGCGGTGACAGCTCTACTCTGTCGCGTTGGTTGGTGGATGTATACAGCAGAGGACCTCAGCATGTTTTTAAGTATACTGAATGTTGTATTTAAAAACAAAACAAAAAACACCCCACTTTGGTGTTAGTTCTGTAATAAAATGTCGTTGTTTACGCAGGTGCTGCCAGTGAGTAAAAGCAGCCAGATGATCACTTTTACATTTCAAAATGGTTGTGTTGCCACCCTTCGGACAAGCGGAACAGAGCCAAAGATCAAGTACTACGCGGAGATGTGCGCCATGCCTGAGCAGAGGTCAGTAGCAGGTCTGCATGCACATTGCAAGGTGTCTCGGGGCTGAAAGGTCAGGATGCAGGAATCACAGGAATCATTCCCTGCCTGCGGGGGGATTCCTCTACTGCCTCCTCGGAGACCTGCGCCTCAGCTGACTGTTCCAACCTGTTTAGCCAGAGTGATGCACGTTCCTCCTCATAAGGGATCCCCTCTGTAGTGGGTAAGACAAAGAACTGAATTTTCAGCATCTGCTACAGTCAGAGACTTCTTTCATTAACCCAATTCCTCATTCTAGAATTAAAAAGTAATGAAGCTGTGCTGCTACTGGCGAGTACGCGTAAACTCAGGTGGATTCCTGTGGCTTTTGGGAATCTGCTGCGTTGCTCCAAGCTACGGGATAGCAGCTAGAGGTCTGTCGTCTTTTGACAGCTGCCTGGATTGACCTTCTTCCAGTTTAGGGGGAAGAAAAAAATACAGGGTGTGTTTACCCCATTGAAATCAGGAGTGTGGACGAGGAGCCCAGGTTCTCAGTCTCGCTAACGGAGAGAAGCAAGCTCTTGAACTAGATTTCTAACCTCAATTGCTCAGTACCCCTCCTTTTAGACTCATGTCCAACATTCCTGTGGAGCAGAGAATTGAAAATAACACCAAGAGACCTCTGATTCAATATTTATTTCTATTTATTGGCAGGAATTCAGGGTGAGCATGCTTCTGGCAGTGAATGTTCTGGTTGGATTGAGGCAGTCAGTGGGCAGTGAGCGGTAAATTCCCTTTGCTTGGAAACCCTGCGCATGAGGGGATGCACAGACCCATGCCTGGGCAGCTTTCCACAGCTTCTGCAGTGTTCTTTAAAACACGGTTTATTGCTATGTGAGGTATATTAACACAGGTAGGGCCCGGCTTTTGAATCGCTTTACATTGTTCTGAGTTGACCGCGGAGTAACAGCAGGTCGGAGGAGCGGGAGGGGTTCCACATCCAAATTTTCTGAGTGGCAGCTCTTGCCCAGAAGCTTGTATTTATTTGGTCAGAGAGCTTTCCGATTGTCTGCCCCGTCACTGCACTTCTGTGGTATGTGGGTGTGGAAAGTCTCGCTCTGGTTAGAACACGCTTCCGTCAACCTGGGAGTGGGCAAGGTCCCATCTGGTGTAAATGCTGAGGAAAAGGTAAAGATACAGTTGAGGCAAACAGCTGTGCCAACAAGGAAGAAAGAAATTCTAGAAATATTGACCTAATCTTAACACAAACGGAGGCCAGACAAGGAAGGGTAGCGGGGAGAGAAACAAAGTACCCCAGGATGCTTTGATGTGTGATTTGGGCTTCTGTTGCTGTTCAGTCTGGTAAGTCAGAAAAATGCATCGACCTGAAATTGTAGTAATGCCTATGGCTAATGGCAAACGTTATTTGGAACGTGAAATTAAAAAGCTTTCAAGATTCCCCGGTTCAGGGCATGAAATGGTCTGTAGGAACCTCACAAGGCATTCCTCTCCGTAATAGCTTTGCAAATGTTTCTCCGAGTTGCTGTTTATTGATTATTCTTAAAAGCTGAACATCAGGAAAGTCAGTTTTATTGCAGCATTTTGGGTGTTTTCTTTAAAAGGGTGGATCATTTAAAAGGATCCAGAGTGTCACCCCCCTCTGTTAGGGGCTCATTCTTCACTTTTACTCCATTTACAGTGTCTGACTGGTCTTGCACTGGTTTTGGAGTCATTAGCTCTCGTGTCCTCTCTGCTGGCCTAGAGCCCTCTAGTGGTGATTATTTTTTCTTTAATTGAATTAAATTAATTTAAATTAATATTACAATAGTCCCTACCGAAATGTAGCTTGTTCAAGCAAGGAGGTTGGAGTCTCTGCACATGGATGCTGGTAGGAAACATAACAGAGCCAGTCCATCACCATTAGATCTTGCATTTTATTTTATTTTATTTATTTTGAAAAGTTTTTTATTTTTTCCTTTATTTTTATTTCTTTATTTCTTTATT